TTTTTTTTTTTTTTTTTTGATGGAAAGTTCCACAAAGTAAACTCAAATTTACTTTGTGCTTGGAAGAAAAAGGAAGAACTGGTATCGAGAGAGTTAATTTGAAATAGGCTTGCATTTAGTACATTATAAGTCTTTTACGCACATTTCCAATATATTTATTCAAAATTACGGGTGTCTCTTGGTCGAAATTACTTCGTAAATGGCAGGAAAGACATTTAATGACCAAAAACAAAATAATATTTAAAGGGTTGTGAATAGAACATCAAACTATTTACAGAATGTCAGTCGATCTTTTTAATAATATTGCTTTGCAATACCTTACGTTCACAAATTATGAAGTGTCCGTGCAAACTCTATTAATATTGCTAAGTGATTTATCACTTATGCATAGAAAATCTAAACTGAATGTAAGAAAAACTAAATCTCTTGATTTTGTAGATAAAAACTTATTTTATTCGAAATTTTATGCATGTTTTGATTGAAATAAATTACAGATCCTTTTCCTTTACTTCTTTTTTCTGCTGCTTTTGAACCTGTTAAGAAAAGATACTTATATTAATAAAAATTGTCATTTTTTTAATGTATACAGTATATTGCGCCATATGAATCATATAGATTTTTAGTGTAAACGCTTGAGGTCACAAATTAATATTTAAATAAAGGAAAAATGAAAACCAGATGAATCACTATCGAAGTTGGAACACCAAAACCACTTTCACTGATAGATGAAACTTGGAAGTTTTTCTAATAATCGCCTTTAACCTCCTCAAAATTCACATATTATGATATTACTCAGAAGGGAAGTATTGATATTCAATGTTGTTTTAAATTTTTTTAGCTTAAATGTATTATTCTTTAATTTTTAAAAAAAATTATTTACAATAAAATTTTCAGAAAATATATTACTTGTGGTTATTTGAGGATACTCTGTATGTTTCACAAAAAATACGAACTTAACACAGTAGTTCATGTATCAAAGATTTTTAGACATTTAGTTTTTTTAGATATCTGTAATACGCATTTAAAGCGAGAAAAAACAAGAAGGATAAATATATATAATTGACATTTTGAATTTGATGAATCATGCTAAGCAAGGTTCTTACGCACCTGGAAAAATTAATAACTGATACCAATTTTGTAATAAAGAAGCTGATGATTTCTTAATATTAGCTCCCATAATCGAAGCAAAATTTCATATCTGCCACCTTCGGATGTATATTTTTTACTTAGAGAAAATAAAACATTCTCATTGTTACAAACATAATAATATTAAAACATTATATTAATATAACTACCACTTTTTAGTTTTTTCCAGATCCATATAAACCTTGTTTAGGATAATAAAACCAAGGCATGCTTTATAATCACAAAATTTACTTGAAAGACAAACTTGCTATTAATTTACATTAGCATTAATTTGAATTAAGGCCCCTAACTTTTGGAATTGACAAGACATTGGTTCATTATTTTTTTAAAAGAAGAGTAAATCACTCATGCAATTACTGATATTCCAGTAAAAATCAATCAATATAAGTAAATATTATGTTTTAACTGTTCATAAGTAGTTACAGAGTGGTAAATTCGTTTGAAGTATGGATAGAAAAGAGATGTTTTTATCTATCAATACTTAATAGTTTTTAATATTTTTGGAAAATTGACTGCCTTGAGTTAAATTCTAGCAAAACATTATTAGTTTTTCTTCAAAAAAAAAAATAGGTTCTTGTTCAATTTAGTACCTTCGTTTCTCTAGTTACACTCAATAATCATTTTAAAGATCTTAATAGCTTTTCAGCTCATTGAGCTCTGGAAAAACATACCCGAAATACTTAATATTTTACTTTCGTATGCATCAATGCTTATACTTAAAATAACACTAAAACACACCTCTAGTTTATGCTTTTTAAGTAAAATTCAGATTACTTACTTGTTGAAAACAATGATTAATATGACTGTTGATATAAGTAGGAATCCAGATGTTAGACACAATACTATGATCAAAGATGAATCAGATTCATATTTATCTATAAAATACAATCGAAGAAATGCAAATATATGTATTAAAATAAAATTAACTAAGTACTGTATAATGAAAATAATTGTATAAATTTTAAAATGTTTCAAAATTTACTTATTTAATAATATGTATAACAACAAAAAAAAAACAATTTTAAAAGTCTTTTAAGAAATATAGCGTCAAAAGCCAACCACAAAAATTTTTTAAATGTGTAATATAAAGAATTAAATTTCAAATACTTGAAATTTTAGAAGTTCACACCTGTTTAAAATTAATCAGTGAAATTAATAAACAAGTCACTAATAAGCTATTTTAATAGAAAAGATTTGTATTTAGCAATGAATTTTAGCTATTTAATACATTTTAAAGACTTCTCTAAATTTTTCATGTAAATAAGCATCTCATGGGCATTATATAAAAATGTATACACATTCTCCCTCATATAAAAGTTTTAGATTTAAACAATGCACCTCAAGTCGTATTAGCATATCCATGTAATAAGTAAATTTTTCGATTTGTTTGTGATTTAACAATAAATAATGCTACTTTTTACCATAACTTCAAAATTAAGATTTTATGTAATTATTTCCTACACCTCAAATAGTGCTTTGCTCCTCATTTTATTCAAACTCGTTTTCTTGACAAACGAAAGTTGAACCTTCCTGACTTAATTCGTGTCACTAGAAACAATAACAACATCAAACTTAGTGTATTACCACAAAAATAATGTAATGTTCTTCTCACAATACTTATACAAGTTTATAATTTCCACCACAATTCTTTTTGTACATTTTAGTTATTACAGTTTCTCCTGTTCTCCTCTAAAAAATCCCAAACTTTGTTATTTGACTTGCCAGTAATACTTAGAAGTTACTATTTCTTGTCAGGAATGGCAACACAAAGTTTTAAAATTGTAAATGAATACCTTCTGCCACCTTACTTAAGTTGAATTGATTATTGAGGCAGCGAAATTGAATATGTGGAATTGCTCGTTTAATGGACCAATAGAATAGTCCATTTAAGAAATTCAGCCAAATTTTTAAATTTTTTAGTTCATTGAGGAGGCAGAAGATATTAATTCAGAGGTATATAGTTTTATATAGCAACTTTTTTGCACTACAGATTAACGATTTAAGATACTTCTTTTTTTTATATTCCTACTATAGATATACAATATATATACCTTCACACATATTTGATTTGTCATCGAAATATCTGCTTGGTGGACATACACAAACGCCTTTTCTTAAAAATTCATCGTACTGACATATCGCACCAATAGTAAGACAAGTGCCACTTAATTGCTCACATGCATCGTTGATTTCACATGTATCACCTTTGAAAGGAAATTTGCATTTACAAAAGTACCCATTGCTTTCGAATTCACAAAGTCCTCCATTTTGACAGTCGTTATCATTTGTGCACATTTCTAAAAATAAGAAGGGGAAAAAATACATTTGTTATCTATCATTTATGATTGCCATTTTAATTACTAAAGAGGAATGTTTAAAGTTTGTTTAAAAATGATAACCTATTGCAAGTAAATTTGAGTAAAAGTTCAAAGTAAATAAAATGTTAAGTTTTTACGAATCTGTATTTACATAACAAGCTTTTTCAATCAACCGGCTTCAAGTTAAAAGGCATCACATGAAGGGATAAGTAATCAGAATCACGTTTTCCATCAAGTGATCGAAACGATCTTAATAAAATTGAAAATAATCATGATTTGGAAAACTTAGAATTATTTACGTTTAGGTATAGCATTTCTTTAAATTCTTTAATGCCTATTTTTTAAATCTAGTGCCTAGCATTTCTTTAAATGCCTATTCTCTGTTTTTAAATTTAAAATCAGGCATTTAGTACGCCATATTTGAGAACATTTCAAAGATTTAGATTCTCACAAAAGATTTTTGATAAATATTTAAAGTACACTCATAAATATCTGAATGTATTTTATACTTACAGAATATATTATTGTTGCTTTATCATGTATTTGCTAACTGACTTTTTTTCTGTAACCATAACAGGATTATTTTCTTTATTATGAACATTCATATTTATTTACACCCATATTTCAGCGTACTTAGGGCTAAATACAGTAAATTATTATTTTTAAATAATGAAACATAATAAAAACTTCAAAAACTCAGGTTCTTAATTTGATCATAGGAGAAAATTATAATTTTTGTCAGTTCTAAGAAGCTGTGCACATCACTTTCGACAGACGTGTAGGAATTTTTCGGTGGTTAAACAAACTTTTATGACGTAAGTGATGCGCCAATATTTTCTGTTTGAGAGCTGATAAAATTTAAATTATTTTTTTTTTACTTTTATAGAAACTTGAATAACGTAATTTTTAAATTGTAGTCTTCATTTTGCAATTTTGCGTCTGTTTGCTTTAATTTATCGAAGAAAGTGGTGCTATAAAACTCAGATAGCTTCTTCAGGAATTTTTAATGTTTTAAAATATTTGTAAATTATATTACCATATTACCATAAGGCACAGAACTCCTTCTAAAATTTGAAAACTCCAAAAAGTCATCAAAATTTTAATGGTTGGGAAGCGATATAAGTTTGTATCGTTATCAGGGCGCAAAGCTTTAGCAGAGATTAGAATATTCTAACTGGTCGGAAAGTTACTGCAAGGAGAGTTAATAAAACTATAATAAATTATAAGAACTTTTAATATCATTTGCCGGAAACATCTAACAAAAAGTTAACTTGGCTAAAAGTTAACTTAAAAGTTAACTTAAAGTTAACTTAAAGTTAACTTGGCTCTTTCGTAATTTTAATGCATTTCATACAATTTAGTCAAACAAATATCATATTTTAGTTTAATATCTTAATTTTTTTTTAGTAAACGTAAAAAAATAAATAGATCAATGCTATGATGCATAATTATTTTTTTTCTCTTACCAGAACATGTTCCATTTCTTTGAAAATATCCTGGTTTGCAACCACAAAGTTTTCTTCCTTTATAATCGAACATACAAGCCAGAGAGTTCATACCGCAGTTACAATCTGTAAAATGAATATAAAAATAAATAGGTGTCAAACTGATTTGAAGTAAACAACTCATAAAGATAAGTATAATTTTTAAAAAGTATTAGTGTAGCTTTTTTTTCCATTCAATAAACGTAAGACGTTCAGTATTTAAAAATTTTTACCATAATACGCCGCGTTTACCAGGTGATTATGATGCTTTTTATACTCTATTATAGGAGTTCATTAACCCTTTCTAAGACAGTGGAAAGTATACTTACGACTTGTTAAAGTCTATGGTAAACTTTTTTACCACTTTTAATTTAGGTTTCCATTTGTTAATAACTTCAGTTTTCTTGTAGTGCGTTTGAATAAATTTGGTAACCATTTGTTAGTTTCAGAAAAGGTATAAAAGTTATAAATTCTTTTTGATGTTTGTATCATTTATAAAATTTATTTTATAAATAGCGAAAAATAAAAATCAATAAGTTCCTAATAAGTCGTGATAAATATACTTACCGCCAAAAAAATGGCATTTAAATTTAGATTAATTTTTTACGAGCGAAATTTTTTTTTCTTATATTAATTTCAATTCCAAAATACTTTAATTTACCTTTACTAGAAATAAATGGCCCATTAAAGGGTTAAAGTGTGTATCATGGAGAGAGACTAGGGATGCTCTAAAGCAGGGGTTTCCAACTTACATGAGGCCGGGGGCTGCAATTAAAAGCACCAGTCAAATGGCGGGCCGCAACTTTATCAAAATTTTATATAGGATTCTTTTATGTTTGAAGGAACATTAAATATTACTGTCAGATTTTTATCAAGTGGTACAAAACAAAAGTATTGAATTACAAATTAAAATAAGAAGTAGGATTTTAAAAATATTTAATTGCGTATTGAAAAATTCTAGCTTCAATAACTTTAATGTGCACCTATGTCTTTAACAATTAATGTGCAACAGACATCAAATTGTCAACATATAAAACTTAAAAGTATTTGAAACCAATATAGAATCTTTACGAAAATTGACCACAAAAAAATGACAACTAATATATTTTAGTTCGCGGGCCACAAGAAAAGGCTTCGCGGGCCGGATGCGGCCCGCCAGTCGCCAGTTGGTAACCACTGCTCTAAGGTGTTCGTCCATGTCTTCAAGTCTAATATTAAAACACTTTCACGCATGGTGGCACGACATCAAAACCGCACTCTTTAAAAAAATTGTTTTGAAATGCACTGTGTTTAACACATGAAACCAAAGTTTTCAAAGTAAAATTTAATCCTTTATCACAATTACCAGATGGCAGCACTACACTTAAATTGTGCCTTTCGTTTAGAAAAATAAAACTCGTTCAAAGCATTTCTTTCAATAGCTCAAATTTATTCATTTTAACCAAATAAAATTCATAAAATATTTAAAATCTATCGCTCAAATTTTTTGCTTTTTAGCTTGTTATGACACAGAGATTTATCTATTATAGAGATTTCTAAAATTTTTAAATTTATTTAAATGGTTTCCGAGCCACTGTGTACAGACACGGAAAAAAATGCCTGGTAAAATTACTGTATTATATGGTTATAACATTTCGGGTAAAAAAAATATATATATATATATTATTCTGATTAATAAAACAAAAATATATGGTATTTAAACCATTTATTTGATAGTTTTTCTGTATGTATGGTAACGGTATACGTTAAATTCTGGTTTTCAAGTTTTTAGTTTTTATTACCACACGTTTAATAAAAAATACAAAACTAAAAAGGAAATTTTATCGAATAAATGCTTTCTATGGCATGTTGTTAAGATATCATGCATAAAAAAATTCTTATAATAAATTATTTTAAAGTAACATTTAATACCTTAATGATTTCAATTAAGAAGTAAAGATGAATTGAACAATGAGAGACTATAGATAAAATTACCAAGATATTATTTTTGGTAAATTCTTTACAACATAACGTTTTAAGGAACACAGTTCCTAAACGTAATTTATGTAAGACTTTCACAGAGGAGTAAGTCAGCGTTTTCTCAAAACTTGCTATGTTATGTAAATGTATGTATTCTGTAAATCTGATATGAAAAGAAAAGCATAACAATAGTGCTAACATAAAACAACAGTAGTGCTAATGTAACATCTATATATATATTTCTCTTACACGGCGACAAAAAAAGCCTCATTTCAACTCCCCGAATNCTCGTTCTGTAGTAGTTCTTGCAGCTCCCGGAAGATCTGCAGGAATCTGTTTGCAGTTTCGCTGGCACTCTTGGGCTGTCTCTGCTTCTGCTGTGGTTTTCTCCTTGGCCTGGCACCGCAGCCTGAAAAACAGGCAGGGTGATCTCCATCGCAGTTGATGCAGGTAGCAGGAAGGCTTTTGGGCTTGGTGCATTGAAATGTAAAATGGGCTCCCGCACACTTCATACATGCAGGTTCATTTGGACAGTTCTTCTGGGTATGGCCAAACTTTTGGCACCGATAACATTGGACTTCAAAAGAGAGAAATAAGAGAAAACAGGGTAAATATATATAGAAAGATGACGTCACAAGAGGGTTTAGAGCAACGGCCAATAGGAGGGAAGGGTGAGTGGATGACGACGAATAGGGAGCAAGGAACAAAAATTTCTGTGTTTACTTAGTATTTACTATAAAGATGTAATTTTTTTTTAAAAAAGTTGTTATATGGATTTGAATGATTGTTTTGTGCATTTGTAATGTACCTAAGTTAGCGAGCGAAGCAAACCATATAAGATTCCGTAACAATTTTCGGGGGTTGGCGAGCGTTAGCGAGCAGAGGCCGCAGCCCACTAGTTCATAACAATCGCGCTATCAAAAGCAAAAAGAAAAAAAAGAGAAAAGTGAATATATCACGAATACAAATGCTTTTTGCTTCGTTTTTTTTTCTTTTGTTTTATGCAGCGCAAAGTATATTCTATCCTTTTGAATAGAGCTAACGAATATATCATTTCAGAATGCTCAATCTATTTTAAATAATCAGCTTATAAAATAACGCTTTATTTTTAATACCATTTACCTGTGCAGACTCCTCTTATCTGGGAGTAACCAAGAAAACAGCTGCATATTTTCCTGCCTTTCACACTCCACTGACAATTATAAGAATTGATACCACAATCACATTTCTTTTCTAGTAAGGATTAAAGAGAAATATAATTTTAGCTAAATAAAATGACGCTAAGATTTTATACTAAAAAGGTGATGTAACTATAAAATGAATAAACAAATGAAAACGTTATCACAACGTGACTATATTTAATTATAAATTTAAAGCTTAGGTTACAAGTCTTTTTTTTTTCAATAATTGTAAATCTGTCTTACTTTAGACACTAACTAAATAAATTAAATCTTACTTATACAAGGTTTTTTATTGTATTCTTTTACTTCTCCTGCTCTAAGTCTGAATCCAGTTTTGCAGTTACAGTAATAGTCGTTTCCTATTGGAACACATTCTGTTGACAGTTTTGGACAGATTGCAGGAACGCTGCTGCATTTGTTGCCATCTGGAAAAACAAAACCGGATTTACTCTCAAATTTAATGATTTCAAGGATGTCCATTGGTTTGAAAAATTCATCAACTTAAAAAAGCGACTAAAATTTACATAGTATTTTACAGAGTATTTTAACAAAACTTTTCATCACACCTGGAAATGAGTTAAACATTTCGATTCCTAATGAATCAGATAACTATGAAAAATTGTTTCATGTTGCATTGATAATGGCTTTAGATAGGTCAAAGCAAAATAGTACATAATTGCATTTTTTTTTACTTAAGTCTCTTTTAACTTTTAAGCTCTTAGTGAACTCTATATCTTCATATCGATTTTTTAAAATATACATACGAATCGTTATCTCACTTGCCTGGAGATAGACATGTCAGAAGCATAAAAATGATTGAAATCGGAATTTGCCTACCTTGCTTCTATGCAAGTCCTAAATAACACCTTAATTATTAGATATATCGACTAGGGTGCGATATCATTCGTTTCAACGTAAAATGTTACATCGGAAACATTACATAACTTGCCTAGATAGCAAAGAGTATGTAACCCTTTTTTCCTCCTCCTCAATCTGTTAAATCTAGATAATAAGCTCGAGATGAGCTGTTAACTTCAAGCATTCATATTTGAAGTTGCTAGGTCCCCACAAGTGATTGTGTTAACTTCAGATATTCATATTAAGCCTAAATTACATATTTTTAGACAATTTACAGCCTTCTTATAACTATTTCTGTGCTTAGTTACTCAGGTGCGGGTCTCAAACTTTAGGGCTATATTATATGAATAATGAAGCGGTAACTATAAATCTGGGAATTGATTTTACTTTCACGATAATTGGGGTTTTTTTTCCTACAAATTCCACGCCTGCCTAGTTTAGAGAAGGTAGATAATGGCCTCAAAAGTGTGCACAATTTCAGTTTCTTGTTATTTATCGTCAATTTTTATCGCCAAATATATACAACATATCTGTTGATGTTTTTGGTACTATTAATTCGTACTGACAAAAATATATACCTTTGTGGTTTATTGTTGGTACAAGTAGAATTCGCCAGTCAAGGTATAAGAAAATAGCTCAGTTTCAAAAATTTTGAATGACATTTGACCTTTAATACAAAGGTTCACTGAAAGTATTTTTGTACTAATGTTTAGTCTCGAAGTCGAAAAAAGTATAATGATCAATGTCATGGTTCACTAATTTCATAAAACTTAATCGCATGCAAATGCATATCTTTTTCTCAAAATTCCAGAAGATAACCCACCAGAAATATTGAGAAATTGAGACAAAACATTCAGGAATTTTTTTTGTTCGCCAAAATAAAATAAAATGAAATGAATATGTCTGATAATTTTACATAAAGAGCATCACCGGAAAATTTCTTTAATATCAAAAATGTCAAGCGCCAAACCTTGCGCAAATTATTTAAAAATTGCGTCTTCGTTATTCTGAAGTCTGTTGAAGTTGCTACTTTTGTAAGAGTTGCAGTCATGCATTGTCATGTTTCTAGTTTAGAAAGTACAAGCAGATCAGAATATACAAATTAATACTACTGTTTAGATATATATTTTCCAAATTCCTGTTTACTAAACTTTTTTTTGAAACTTCATTTTAAATTACATATATAACTGTTTAGAATATATATAACTGTTAAAAAAAACTATATACTTACAACCATCTGTTGAAGTTGAAAACGGCATTCTAGTTTTTCCAACATCTGTTGTTATATTGGTTGCTGTAAAGAACATATCTAATTATAGTAACTAATCCAAATTTTAAATAAGTTTTTATGAGAAAAATCATGTGTTAATGAAGAGTTATTACACTGAAGAGCCAAAAAAACTGGTATACCTCCCTAATATCGTGTAGCGTACCCGCGAGCACGCAGAAGTGCCGCAACACGACGTGGCATGGATTCGATCAATGTGCGAAGTAGTGCTGGAGATAATTGACACCATGAATCCTGCAGGGCTGTCCATAAACCAGTGGGAGTAAGAGGGGGTGNGTGTTGCGGCACTTCTGCGAGCTCGCGGGTACCCTACAAGATATTAGGCAGGTATACCAGTTTTTTTTGGCTCTTCAGTGTATATAACAGAAACATGATCATGAAATAGTACAGTAAGCTTTTTGCTGCGAGATTCTACAATGGTTATCATTCAATGAAAATTGAAAAAATAGTGATAATTCTCCCAAAAATAGTAAATTCCAATGAAATTTTAATATGGTGTTAAATAAGAGTTGATAAGTAAAATTACAATATGTAAATTAGTGGCGCTGCAATAGAATGATGCCATCTGTAATTAGCATAAATTGTATGTCTTATGGCAAGGCAGCAAATTTCGTTGTGCTTCTTAAATTAAAAATTTAAGATAGCCAATTTGCAAAAGTGACCCCCAGGCACCATTTGTCCAAGGAACTGAAATGGAGATGTGCGATAAAAGACTAAAGGCAGCACAAAGACAGATAGAAGTTGCCAGATGATAAAATAGGAGTCTTTCTGTGGTTCATAGACTTGGGCAACAATTTCTAACCATAGGCTCGGCATCCAGATGGTTTAGCCAAGAACGGCAAAATACTGTGACGTGCGCCGATAGCCAATAATCATCGTTATGCGCTTGAAAGAATATAAACGCAACACAGAGTCAGCTCAAATTCTTAATGCAGCTACCGGGAGATAGGTGTCAACGTATACTGTGCCTAGAAGGCTTTAAGAACGTGGTTTGTTTGCTATACAACAAGCCCTTTGAATGTCACTCTCATAACGCTTTATAAAGGAATGTTTAAGGTGGGTACAGCAACATGTCCACTAAGCGGCTGACCTATAGAGGGCACATTCGAGTTTAGATATACCTTATTAGATATAGTCCTCCACATTTGAGTCCAGATATAGCCGAGATATGTTTTTTTTCAGGAAAAAAGAAAGATTCGTGATAAAATTTATCTTTATTTCTCAATTGTCTTCATATCTATGAACAACCTCCACATTGCCAGCATAATGCACAACACTGTTTTTTTTTGTTTTTTTATTTAATTATTTATTTATGTTTATTTTATTTATTGATTTATTTGTTTATTTTTTGTCAAAATTTGACGAGCTTAAAATATTATTTGTAATCAATTCATATATTTTTTTTCCATTGAAAGTTGAAGGAAGACAGTGTGGATGTGACATGTCTGTTCCAACCCCACCACCATGTGGCTATATTAGCCCCACGAATACATGTGTTAGTCTCTGCTTAAATCAGATTTATTGATACTATATAGATCAAAATTTAATTTCAAAATAGTTAAAAAAAAAAAAAAGAACTTATAATATATTATCACTTTTTTCTGATATTCTGAAAACAAATTATGTTAATAAAAATGTAAAGAGTAAGTTTGGGAGTTACTTTTGTACCTTTAAAAACCTTGCTTTACAAATTTCTACTTAAGTAATCACAGTCAGATTATGCAACTACACATGAGACTGTGCATCAGTTTTTCCAGTCCACCTCACAGAAAACATTTGACCTATAAATACTAAAGTTATTCAAGGTATCTACTTTAGCCCAAAGATCAGAACAGCCCCCCTCTCTTCTATGCTAGATTTGTTTTATTGTAATTTTTGTAATATTATATTACATTATTTATTGTTATGTTATATTATTTATTGCTATGTTATATCATTTATTGTTATATTATATAGCTTATTCGCAACGTATATCCTATTTTTTGAATTTCGTAAACGCACCAGTAAAATTTAATAGCGATAGTTTTTATTTACTTTGTTTGCTGTAATTGCAGCAAATATTGCTATCATTTGCATTGAATGTTGTATCATTGGCTACTGTAAGAATGGAATTCAGTATAATTTAATAACAAACAAATCAAATGTTGAATGAAGTACTTTTACTCAAATTTTGTACCTACGAAAAGTTGAAGTTGTGTGCTGTGTTGTTGAGGTACTAACATCTGACGTAGAAGTTAAAGCTGTAAAAAAATATATTTTAAAATAAACAATGAAAATAGAACTATAAGAGTAAAACAAATTATAATTCATTTGAGTTATAACCTAAGGATATTAAACCAATTTCAAATATTTAAATTATAATAATAATAATAAAGATTTCAGATTTTTAATGCGTGCGTAGTTCAATCATTATGGAGTTTATAATCCCCTTTTTTATTATTTTAGCATTTAGACTAAAAGCAAAGATTTATAGCAAAATATCGTGCGGTAGATCATATTTACGGAATTATTTTTACTGTATTTGTTCAAAATTAAAATTAATTTGACTGAAAGTATTTCTTAGTAAAGGCTCGATTGAATATTTTAATTGTTTGTTTACCAACCACTCTTTAAATTATTTCCGATACAAATACAATCCGACGTTAATATTTTCTATAGATAGCGTTTTGTGAGCTGTTAATCGGCTATTAACTTACATTTGGATTAACCATCTTCAATGAAGAAAGTTTTTAGAACCCCTAATATTCAAGGGTATAATTAACGGAATTCTAACCCACGATCCATTTAACACTAAGAATATTTTACAACAGCCTTGTGATCGGTGCGAGCTAAGAATCGAGTTTAATTAGACCAGCCATTGCTGGAATTCGAACCTAGATCATCTCAATAAGAGGTGATTGCTATATCGCCTGTGTCACCGCGTCTCTGGAACTTTATTAAACCGTTTAAACGTTACAATTTCTCTAAGTAAATTACCCAAAAATGCTTACTCTTTCAAAAAAGACTAATATTTTCGAAAACAGCTTCTACACTGTTGACGAGGAAAAAATTAATTCCTTTCATAGGGTTTTCGTTCCGGCTTATCAGCAAAGAAATATCCGATCCTGTGGATTTTTATACCAGGTTTTGTGCCTGGATCAGATCTGTCAGTAACGAGGTATTAGTTAAAATAATTTGCATGCACTTTGACCTTTTGTGTGGCGTATATATGATCCAGAAGGAATACTTCACTAAGCCTTATATTTTGACATGTCCGTGCTAAAGAGCATTTATTCAAAAAGTATTTTATTTCGATCAGAGGAAAAAAATTAAGAAAGGAAAAGTAAAATTTTCTGCTATACAGACTCTTCTGAAAAATATACTAATGTTTTTGAAAACCAATTCCACTTTGGAGAAAATCAGGTCCTTTCTTAAGGTTTTTGTTCCGTTTTATAAGTAGAGAAATATCATATCATAGTGACTTTTGCACCAGGTTATGCGAGTAGAACAGATCCGTCCGTAACGATGTATCAGAAGAATTTACATGCACTTCTGCCATTCGTTTATCGTATATTTAATGGAACAGAAATGTTCAACTAAGCCTTATATTTTGTCATTTCTATGTTTAAGAGTATTTATTCGAAAAGTATTTTATTCCGATCAAAGGAAAAAAATTAAGAAAGAAAAAGTAGGAAAAGTAAAATTTTCTCCTATACAGACTCTTCTGAAAAAGATACTAATGTTTATGAAAACCAATTCTACTTTGGTGAAAATCAGATCCTTTCATAAGGTTTTTGTTCCGTTTTATAAGTACAGAAATATCAGATCATAGTGACTTTTGCACCAGGTTGTACGAGTAGAACAGATCCGTCCGTAACGATGTATCAGAAGAATTCACATGCACTTCTGTCATTCGTTTATCGTATATTTAATGGAATATAAATGTTCAACTAAGCCTTATATTTTGTCATGTCTATGTTTAAGAGTATTTATTCAAAGAATATTCGATTCCGATCAAAGGAAAAATTAAGAAAGAAAAAATAAGAAGAGAAAAATTTTCCGCAATACTTACGCAAACACATTTCACTGTCTCTATCATATACCAGAGAGTCGTCTATACATAAACATTCGGCCTTTTTTGACGTCACATTAAATCCACACGCTGAACCACTGGTTATATTACACTCTAGGATCTTATTCACACAGTCCATAACGTGTTCACATCTGTTTCCATATGTGCCAGGATGACAAATACAGAAATCATAACCGAAGATACCTTTATTACTACACGAGGCACCATTTAAGCAATCATCATATTCTGGAAGGCAATTCTCTACAACAAATAATAAATGTTAGTACAGTTTTCGGAATAAATTTTAGCTTCATTTTGAAGCAAAAAGTATAAATTGAAAATTACATGTTTAAACCCCCCTTCTAAATTAAAAAGAAAGATAATTTAAAAATAGTTGATTCAAATATATTTCTTTCTTTTTTTATTATTGTTCAATTTACGTTCAGTCGTAATTAATACACCAATGATGTGCTATTTATTCTGAACATAGCTCGAAATTCGTGTTTAAGAATGACACATCTGGAAATCTATGTTTAAGAAAATGAACACAACTGTAATAAGTGTTTACGAAGATGGACACGGTAAAAAATGCCCCTTTTTAATGCTCAAACCAAATTTAATAACTAAACTAGGAATTCCGTACTTACTTTTCCTTACTTTTTAAAACTCTTATCATGATTGTTATGCTGCCAAGTCCTGAACATCGGAATCGGGGTGGTTAGATACCTTACACATGTAATTTTTTACACGTTGTCTTCCTATTCAGAACTCTAAACAATAAAGTGAGTTTTAAAATCCTGAATTCGTACAACATAAATTTACTACCATTATTATAAATTTAAAGCAATCATGTTGAAAGCAACTGTTAACTTTAAAGCACTTTTTAAAAATAGACTAATTTAATAAGATGTACCAAGTGATTTGTGCAAAATGACGATATTACACTACGAATTTCCCAGAATTCAGTAAATTTATCTTTAAAAACACTCATAAAAGAAGTATGAAATACGGAATCAAATAATCTCTCCATTTTTGTAAATTGCTATGTTCATTTTCTTAAACACGCATTTTGAGCTTTTGCCAGACTTACAATCTCCCGGAGAACATGCTGGGTGTTAAAAAAATATCTGACCATTAAAAAAATAGGTGAAGAGAAAAATGGAAACTTAAGATTAACAAATTTATTCTGATTAAGTTTCAAAATTTATTGCAAACTTGGACTAAAATTCGCGTTGCCGAAGCTTTAATGTATTGTCATTTGCAACAACAACGGTGTAATGGTAATTAAATCTCTAATAGGGTATTATAAAAAAATAATAGAAAATATTTGAAGGCAAAACTACCACATGGTGTCATAAATACAACAGAAAACAATGTAAATAGTTTTTTTTACGAGTTAACAGAGTTTATTAAATACATTACAAAAACTGTGGTGTAATATCTTTCAGAATTTGGTGTACATACAATTCAGTATAGGAAATAAAACAATTTCAGTGAAAATATAACAGATATTTCTATTCATATGATAATTTAAGAAAACTATGCATTTAATTTACTTGTGAATCTTGTGATTTAGTTAAGGTTGTAGTTAAGTAGGAGAGATAGGAGGACAATTGTTCTAGGTACCGGGACTTCTCAAGAAACGGTTCCTTACGAAAAGTATGGTGCTTATTTTTTTTTTTTTAAGAAAATTGCAGATAGTTTCCTTACATCTACATAAAAACTACGATTTTGTATACAGGATCTTCAAAAATTCTATAAATATTAAAATAAGGTTTTTTGTGCTTTGAAGATTGTTGTTGTAATTCATTTATGTCGCACTAGAGCTGCACATTGGGCTGTTGGCGACGGTCTGGGAAACATCCCTGAGGATGATCCGAAGACATGCCATCGCAATTTTGATCCTCTGCAGAGTGGATGGCACCCCCGCTCCGGTAGCCAGACGACCTGCACGCGAAGTCGAGCACTTTACGATAGAATAGTTTAACGAGGACCAATACCGCACACCTTCGGTCCCTACGCAGACTGATCCACGTGGTCACCCACCCGCACACTGACCTCAATCATAGATGCTTGACTTTGGCGATCTGCTGGGAACCGTGTCTTAACGATCAGTCCACTGCGGAACTGTGCTTTGAGAAAAGACCCACAATAAATTTTGTCTTTGAGTCCGTATTACCTTTGTTCATCTTAGGATGTAATTATCATATATATATATATATATATACAACCCTATTCGAGATTTAATTACCATTTAAAGTTGGTGTAATTAGTTGATTATTTTAAGTAATTTCCCTATTAAGAGTTTACATTTTTACTGTTAATTAAATTTGCTTACCTCTACATGTTTCGCTGTCCTTGTCATATGTTAAGCCATTATGGCATAAACACTCAGCTACTTCTAAAACTGGGTTATAACCACAAGTCACTCCAATGTCTGTATTGCATTTTAAGTTATAGTTGTAACAATCAGTCACAGTTTCACACTGATGTCCAAAAGTTCCATTAAGACACTTACAGAAATCGTATTTACCAGTGCCTATGCAAGTAGCTTCATTTTGACAATCATCAGAATCCTCACAAATTTCTAGAAACAAAAATTATTTCACCTAAATGTACAAAGTTTAAAATAATTTATTCGTTTTTGAAACTTTACTTTTAAAAAAAAAAAACTTTATGTAATTAATGATACATGAAAATTAATAAAAGAGGGCAAGAATCAAGTTGTTTCAGTAACAAATGAAGCAAATGTTAATTTAAGAATTTTGTGTATAATGAAAAGAAAAACATTTAATTTTTAAGCAAATAAGTTCATTCAGCAAAGTAGTAAATATCAAATAGGTTCTACGCTGTAGAGCATGTGAAAATCATTTTACAGTGCAAACTTAGTATGAGGTTAACTTTGCAGTGTAAAATGAGTACTGCATTTATTCTACTCTATTGAATGAGTAAAACTTATTCCACATGGTAGATTTTAAGAAGTTTATTCTACAGTATAGGATAAGTCTCAAGTCCCTCCCATAGTGTAGATCCATGCTCTGGGAATAGCTACAGGCTTATTCTACAATGTAAAATGAGTACGAAGTATAAACTATAGAATATACTTTAATAGCCATTACCTTCGTCCTAAGGTTTATAATAATTATCATCCTCATCCCCCCATTTTTCTCATAATTATTAACTACTAGAAAAGTGTTAATGAAATTTATTTTACAGTGAAGAGTGAGTATCAAGTTTTATCTTCACAATAGAAATGACTACAATGGAAAGACTTCGTTCCAAGGAAAAAACAGAAGCTAGTTTACAAATTATATTATTAATAATCTATACTACCATTAATATTCAATATTAAAAACTAATAATCAATTAATATAAAATATTACTAATCAATACTATTATTAATAATTAAAAATAAAATTTCTTTCCAAAATTAATGAATATCATATTCAATCTACATCGTGTTATGAATATGAATGTTAATTCTAAACAAGTAAGTATCTAGTTTTTACTAAATTGTAAAATGAGTAGCAAGGTTAATCTGCAGAGTAGACTGAGTATCAGCTTTTGCGAGTATCAGAGTAGAATGAGTATCTTCAGAGTAGAGTGAGTATGGTGTACTTTATTAGAAGTTTATAAGGTGAATTGCATTAGAGTTTATAAGAGTTTATTTAGTATATAAGAGTTCATAAAGTGTGTATGTGAGTATTATAAAGTATTATAAAGTAAAGTGAAGTATATTAGAGTTTATAAAGTGTACTTTAGAGCATCGAGTGTAGTAGATATTTTTACAATATTAAGTTTTTTTTCTTTTTTAAAAAATGCTTAAAGCGTTTCTGATTTTTAATCCTTTTTAAATAATTTAGTATTTTTAATTACATAATTAATTTTCTATTTGCTTAAATAGTATTATAAATTAATATTAAGTTGTGACAAGCGACTGCACTTTTATAGCAAATAATGATTAAATTAAAACTGAACTCAGTGGCGCGACAGCCCATAGAGAGCCAAGGCTTACTGTGCCCATCTCAGCTTTCATGACCTTGGACTCCGGGTTGTAAGACATGTGTTCCTGTTGGGTGGTCAACCGAACGCGAAAACCCCAGTGTTTAGTTCCCAAGCATTCTTGGTACTCATTTTATCTACCACTGAAAGGATAAGAGGCTGAGTCAACCGTGCCCAGCCCGAGGATTGAACCAAGGACATGTGGCACGAAAGCGTGAAGGAGTAAATCAGTAAATTAAAGTATTGTGAGCAAATTAAAGTATCAAAAAATTTTAAGTAGCTGCATTTTATCCACAAAAATAGTTAAATATCTAATGAGTCTCTTACCTCTACATGTTTCGGTATCGCTGTCATAATATAATCCATTTTTACATAAACATTCAGCTGTTTGTGTAGTGGGGTCGTATCCGCAAATTGCTTCACTATCTTTATTGCATTCAATGTAATTTAGGTCGCAGTCTGTCACATTTTCACAGTAATGTCCATAAGTTCCTTGGAGACATTTACAAAAATTATAATTGCTAGTGTTTGTACATGCAGCTCCATTCTTGCAATTCATTTCTGAGACGCAGGTTTCTAAAATATAAAAATGCATTTAAGCTTACATATATTTTTTTTCTCAAAGCGTTATAAGCAATTTTGTTATAATAATATTTTTAAAACTTTGTATATATTTTTGAGTTTACTGTTTTCGATTTTCTTCATATCTCCTATAAATATTTACAAATTTAGTACATTCTGAAAAATACTAATGAATTTATATAAGTTTTAATTAAATTTTCAAATAAGATTTTAATTGAGATTGTTGATGATTTTACATGTTTCACGCATGTCTAAAAAATATGGTTGATTTTAAAAATCAATTAAAGAAAAGAAAATCGAGTAAGAAAAAATTAATATATAAATAATATTTTCTAGCTCTGAAACAATAAGTATCATACATTGCTCACAGAGTAACTCTGACATTTGTGTGGCAATAATTCTTAAACTACACCAGAAATAACTTGTCGATGGTTTTTTAAATTTAGAAACCGATCAAAAGGCGTGAATTCGTAAATGAACACAGCTGAAAATGCATATTTACGGAAAGGAAAAAGCTCAGTATGCGCGTTTGTGAAAATGGACGCAGCTCGAAATGCATGTTTATGGAAATGGTCACAGCTCGAAACGCGTGTTTTCGAAAAAGGGTAAAGCTATTTATGAAAATGGACGTAGCCTTTGATTCCATTTCCAGACTTCTTTCATGAGTACGCTTCTTTTTTCTAAGATTTATCTGATTAATCTAAATAAATTTGTAATGTGATATCGCTCATTTGCAAAAATCATTTCGCCTTTTTTTAAATTAGTTTTTAATTGCAAAGATTTTAAAAGTCAAATATTTATTTTACAAGGGTGCTACGGTTTGTAAAAACTTATAATGGTTGTAGTAAATTTAAGTTCTAAGAATTTAGAGTTTCTAAGCTTTATTGTTTAGTGTTCTGAACAAATACAACGCCTTAAAGGGTACACTTGCAATATAAACACCTATCCACCACGTCCCCAAAGTCTGATAATTTGCTCCGCATTGAATATGCCAAGCATTTTAAAAATTAGGCACACAATACCTTGTTTAGTTGTCAAGTTTAAAAGCAGAAAAGACACATTTTTTCCGAGTCCATTATTGTGAGCACACATTTTGAACTGTGTCCATTTTCGTAAATGCGTATTGTGAACTGTGTTTAATTTCGTAAACACGCATTTCGAGTTGCACCAGAATATATGACCACAAGAAACTCTAAAATATGGCGAAATACTAAACATAAAATACCTCTGCATAATCCGAGATCTGAATCATACTTTCCGTTGTAACACAAACACTCCGCCCTCTTTTCCAATACGCTAAATCCACAAACAGCGTCACTTTCATTGTTGCATACCAATGTTTCTTCAACACAAGAAGTCACATATTCGCAGAAGTCTCCGTAAGTCCCAGAAATACAGTCACAAAAGTCATAATTTCCTACACGTTTGCAATTTCCTCCGTTTGTGCATTTGAAGTAACTACAAGTTTCTGTAAAAAATAGATTGAAAGATATCACATATATATATATATATATATGTGTGTGTGTGTGTTACGGTGAATCACCGAAATCTGGGGAATATCGACATTCACCGGTGAATGTCGGCATTCACGTAGTCGCTTGGTGTATGTCCGAAATATTTGCTAAATACCCTTATTTCTGACTCTCACCGGTGAATGTCAACAATCACATAGTCGCTTTGGTGAATATCCGAAATATTTGTTATATCCGATTTTATATTAATTTATTCGTTAATATTATTATATTTATTTGATATATTTATATTTATTCTATATTTTAATACTTACTGACGATAGATTAGAAGAAACATCAGTGTTTGGAGTATCGGGCAAATATNTCGTTTGGCGTTTCCATTCAAAATGTCAATCGATAACGTCTACTGTTTAGCGTCGTAATGTCTGACCACACAGTAACTAGACTAGAATGTTTATCAAATATTACGATGATTTCGTTCGAAAATATTTGCTTCACTTCAACTTAGCTTTTTAAAATGTAATAAATAAATGGTGGATGAGCTAAAATAATTTGAGTAAACATTTTTCACTTGACGTAAAATGTTTTTGGCGAACTTCTAAAAATAAGTTAACATTGTCACTTTTAAATACTCAGTTTTCAAAATTTAAACTATTCTTAAATATTGTGAGTCAATAATCTCTTTCTTTATGTATATATATATATATATATAAGCCTTAATCTGCGAAATATGGTTCCAACAGTCAGGGAGGATTCCAAAGTTTGGATCCCTTAATGCTAATTGCTTCTTAGTTTCACTTGTAGAAAAAAAATACTTCTCACAAATTATTTCTCTTTGTTTTAAATTATGAATTGTGAAAAATACCATTAGTACTGATTACAATTACCTCTGCATGTTTCAGTTTCATTATCGTATTCTAAGGCATTAGGGCAGATACATTCAGTGACATTCAGATCTAAGTTAAAACCGCATGTTGCTCCACTTCTTTCTTTGCATATAACGTTGTTATTGTCACAATCAGTCGCATTTTCACATTTGTTTCCATATGTTCCAAGACGACATTCGCAGAAAGCGTAATTACCAATGTTCTTGCAAACAGCTCCATTAGAACAATCGCCCCCTGCATAGCATGGTACTGAAAAAAAATGATGAATTTGTTTAAATTTATTATTTAAAGGTTTCACCTCCTTTGCGCTAACGCTAGCCAACGTTTCGAAGTTCTTTTCGAATTGCTTCGCAATCAGAGCTAACTTCTCTCGATAATTGAAGGATTTACTTCCGTTTAGAAACGTATAAGAAATTAAACGCAAAATATCTACATATTACATCGAAATTTAAACAGTTTATTAATTTTTTTACGATGTACAATTTTGAATTTCTGTGTACAGAAACACAATAGCTATAAATCCTTTATTTTATCACAAATTTGTAAAATGTAAAAGAACCAAAAAACAAGAGTAGGAAAAAAGTATAATCATTTAAAGGTTAGTATAAAGTAGTGTGTGGAAGTTCAAATAAAACTTAGAGTTGAACTCAATGTTAAAAATTCCAATTTTTCTGGGGCAATTAAATTAACCTATAACCTCTGTAATTAACCTCAATAATTTATTTTTTCTAAGTACACATTCCTCAATTTTAACATTTAAGTCACAAAGCAGCTGTCTCGAGTTTAATGTTAAATATTTTTTTTTGCAATTAATTTTTATCGTGATAAAGTTTTTGTAACTTATAGTAGAAGGCAAATCAAAATTTGTCATTTATATTCGATATAATTATTCTGATTGCTGGTTACAAACATTCAAATTTTTCTATCTGGAATTACTCTTTTAAATAACTTGTAAATTAATTCATTCGATTAGCAATAGAAATATATTGTTTTTTAAAAAACAAATAAAGCCTTCATCCTGTTTTAATTGGAAAAATTGTAAACTAGTAATATACAAAAAATATATAATAAATACGTAAAAAAATTGTTTTGTCAAAATTTCGAAAACTACGTCGTTCCTCATGATAGTAAAGTATAACTTCAGAAAGTTAAAGTTCAAAAAACTCAACATAATTTCTTTTCTTTGTGATTATATTATTCTATGGACATCAAAATGTAGCTTTATGTAGTTTTATGTAGTCAAATGTAGTTTTCCAACTTTTTTACAATTCAGATCACTGTGTGATGGATTATTTTTTATGCTGTTTTCTAAATTTGTTTTCTTAATTTTAAGGATATATTTAAGTAATATTATATTTGTAATACAATTTTATAGCTTTAAAGTAAAGACAAATTATTTTTTTTAAATTATCTGCTCTTCTTTATTTTAGATAATCTTATAAAACAAATTCTCCTCCGTGCGCACCTTTGAAATTAAGTAACAAATGATAGAGGAAAACCTAATTTTGACGTAACGACCTGATAGGTCAAAAAGAACTTCATAGGCTTCACAAACGCTTAATCGGGCAAGTCGGAAATGTGAAAACTCATTTATATTAAAAAAACAATATATTTTTTCAATATTTTCATCCAGTAGTATATGAGAAATTTGGAATCATATTTTATTACCAAAATAAAATTTTTATTCTCTCTCGTTTTCATTTTTTATATTTTTGACCTGCAATGGATGATGCCATCTTCTCCAAACTCAGAAATATTTATAGTTACCTTTGCATGCTTCAGATTCAATGTCATATTTCAAATCATTATCGCATATACATTCAGCGACAGTCAGATTTAAGTTATAACCGCATACTGCTCCACTTCCTTCTCCGCACATCACACTGTTATTTTCACACTCAGTTACTTTTTCACATTGATGTCCATATGTTCCATTGTGACACTCGCAAAAATGGTAATTACCGATATTTTTGCACCCAGCTCCATTTCTACAATCAGTTCTGCCATTGCATGTTTCTGAAAATGAGAAGACTTTTATTCCATATTTATTACGAGGGAAATTCCCCACTTTACTAGGTAAATAAAATATGAGAGTATCTTGTACATCAGGTATTCCTAAAATCAATAACAATTTGGAAATTCAATAAAAAAAAAGACAAAACGAGAAGAAAATGTATGGCTTTATAATATTTTATCCTGTCAATAGATGACAATGCTGACTGGAAATTACTATAAAAAATATCCTGCACCAAGCAAGACCATTATAATTTAAAATATTTTGCACGGGTGCTAATACTTTTTGTCTTCAGACAGAGCCACGTTTTTGTAACAAATAGTGCCCATTTCGAAAACATAAATTTGTGGGTTTTTCTAGTCATTAGCATGACTTCTACCAGTTGGCAAAATTTTGTATGAAATTTGAAACTTAGAGAGTATAAATCAACTGGTATTCTAAATAGTACGGAGTAACGAATGTATTCTCACCTCCTTCGTGTTTATTTCGATGGCTTTATCAATATCGCTGTTATTTTTGAGAGACGTATTACATAAAATATTTTTATTATATATGGTTAGGCTTATTCGCAAAAAAAAATCTTTAAACATTTGAATTAGACAAGATAAACGAGGCTCATTTTAATTAGCTACATCCATTCTGACGCGTGCATTTAAAGAGAACACGAATGGTCCAGCTTGACCCCTACTACTTTATCTAGTATTTAACTTGTTAACTGTGAAATAAACCTTTGTTCAACACATTTTACAATGGGGGCATTTTTTCTTCGTAATTAAAAGTAATATCAAGTCATTTCCCAGACAAAAACTGTTGACATGTCCATTGCAATAGTTCGTCTAAAATGAAGCATTTCGTCATACGTAGTTATCAGGTTAAATCCTTCAAAATCCTACTAAATTCTTCAATATAATTGCCAACTCGTACTGAAAGGCAGACAAAAGATAGCAAAATTATCATAAGGATTATGACAGTGAAACTTAGAATTGAATGAAATATCGTTACTAGCCACCTTGCACAAGTAATCGTGCAGCGGAATAGTTAGTTTTTTTTATTTCTAACTAGCCATCTCCAATGACCAACAGGTCCACCTTTTTAAATTAATATATTTCTAAGTCTTTCGAGGTTTCAATTCATATAGTTAAAAATTAATTCTATATGTAAGCATAAACTCATAATGCTCAAGCGAGAGTAGAATTATTTTCATCTCTTACATGCTCACTCTTTTAGACGTCTTAGGCGTTTTGAGAAATCTTTCGAATTTGAAATTTGACGAAAAGGGGTATTGTAGAGAATTCGTTATTAAAATGGTCTATACAGCATATTCTAACATGCTAAACAAAGCAAATAAGCTAATTAGCTCAATGGCACCATTAACTTTACAATGGTACTTTTGTTTTGTTTCTAGCACATGTTTATGTTTCATATAAGCTGTGAGCTTAAAGAGCATTAATTAGACATTTAATTTTTTCACGAGATTCATCGGCATCAATTTTTTTTGAATTTCTTAGTTGTTTACATGACAGGGAAACGTTGAAACAATGCAAAACCACATTTTTCAATATTGAAGCGAACGCTTCAACGTAGGGGGAGGGCGGCTATCGCAAAATGATAAGAAAAATATTAACAATCTGTAACAGAAAATGACATGTCATACGGTGAAACGATTCAAGAAATACTAAGGAAAGTGTAATCTGTAGTAATGGTTTCCGACAACAAAATTTCCTATTTTACATATTGCTCCTAAACGAACTGAAGCCGCAATGGTAATTGTTTAAAAACCTCTCCATAAGAATTTGTATGCTTTTAGAAGAAGCATGATACAAATCGGTTCTTCCATTTTCGAGTCATACATACACCCAAACATACCAAACTTACACCCGAACGAAGCTTTTATATAGAGAAAAAATACAGCATACGATATACTCAGCTCTTTCGCAAAAAGAAGCGAAACGAACAAAACTTTAACAACAGCAACAAGCAAATTTCAAACAAATAAATGTGAATACTTAAAGAAAAACAAAATGAAAATATTTGAGTTTGCAAAACAGGAATAAAATTCTTCGTAGAACAGTTAGGAATGTTTATAAAATGTAACGATTTTTTATTTCTCATTATCTTACTTTTCAATTGCGCAAATAAATTGCGATTCATTATTGCTTTTAGGAGTAAAAATACATAAGTTTCGTAGAATTTTTGATATAATTTCGTCTCTTTGGAGGAAATGTAAGCACAGCAAGAGCGTGCCATTGCCAGATTGAAAGCGATTCCAATGGATTCTTGTACGAGAATGTAGAATTTTTTGACGTATTTCAATTGAGTTTTTTTTTCCAAGCTTAAAAAGTATTTTATGATCCAGAGGTGATTGCATTTATATTTTCTTTTTTGATAAGAATTCGAAAAATAAATCATTAATCATGTTTTATACTCTTATAATAAATTCCACTTCCTGAAAAATGATCATTTAACTTACCTCTACACAATCCAGTTTCAATGTCATATTTCAGTTCATCTCCACACATGCATTCAGCGACATTCAGATTTCGGTTGTACCCGCATGTTGCTCCACTACCACTGCGGCATGTCAATATGTTATTATCACAATCAGTCACGTTTTCACATTTGTGCCCATATGTACCAGGACGACATTCACAGAACTGGTAATTTCCGATACGCGTGCAACGAGATCCTTGCTGACATTCGTCTCTTGAATGACACCATTCTAAGAAGTAAAAGATTGTAAAATCATTTTACCCATAACAAATAGAAGTATAAGTAAATGTTTTGTGTGAAAATATGCAGATTATAGTTTTATTAAGTTTATTTCAATTATGCATGAATAATTTATGAAGATATCCGACAGGTTCCGACACTTTTTTTCTATAAAAGGCGTAATTAATATTTTAATTTTCTGTTTGGTAAGAATGGGTCCTAAAATTTTAAATTTAAAGTAAAGTTTAAAAATTTACAAAATAATTTTTAAAAATATGGCCGAATTTAAACCTAAAAACTACGAATTTTTCATGTCACTCAAACAGTTCTACAAAAAATTGTAATGCATAAATTTCAAAACGTTTTTTTTTTTCTAGATTAATAATCTCATTTCCTGAGATTTAAACTAAAATATTTTTAAAAATGTGTAAATAACAATTAACAAAAACTAAATACATTGTTTAATATCGAATTTTTAAAGAAACATTTTAAATATTCTTAGTTAAAGATTGATATAAGTTACAATTAAAATTCCGACTTTAGTTTGCAGTTCAAGACATCGCAACACAATATACAAAATCTGCATCCAAAGTTTCAAGGAATTCAGCCGTAAACATTTCTTATAATGAGTGTTAGCGTAAAGAATTTTTCTCAAAATTAATGCTCTTCAGAAAATGCAAGAAAATTCTGAAATGTAGGACACTTTTGACTAAAAAGAATTCATAACTGGAAAATAAATTTCTGAAAATGCACTAAAAATATAATTAATCATCTTTCATAAATGTGCCTTGGAAATATATTTTATTCATATGAATAAGGGTTCAAATACTCAAAGCAAAGCAAAAACATAGTAGTTCCGTTTTCGAGAGTCTAGTTCCGGTTTCGGTTTCGTCTTTCTGCATACAAAAAAACAACCTCATTTCCAAAAATCAGAGATAAAAATTTTGAAAGGAAAAATTTTAAATAGTCCAATAAACTTCAATTTGAATATTAATTAAAAAAATTATATTTTTGTCGAAATCTCTGATTTTCATCCTGTCGGATACCATAAGAAGAAAAGCTTTCAAGCTTTCATTTTTAAATGAATTTGAGAAGTGGAGTGTTTCACCGAAAAAAAACTCGGTTGTACAAAAAAAAATAACCGAAAAGCAGCTTATGAGGTTTATTGAAGCATATTTAATCAGTTTCTTTCTTGAACAACATCTTAATTGTAATTTCTGCAAAGAATAGAAAAGCCGGATAATGACAATTATTTCATATGTAGCTTGTTTTCCTGAAGAATAAGATTTTTGTGACTTGTATGACTTTTTACCAGATATAAATTATCTAGATGAATATTTTCTACCCGGAAATTAGTAAATAATATTTGCGAGCTCTATTTAATCGAAAAATGTCCTCTTTTCGTGATCAGTCACTTATTCCATTTTTGCTTATTTTGCTATATCTTAAAGTAAGTGTCATGTATCAATGTATGTCATGATGTGTTATAGCTGCGGTCTTTATATAAAACTTCCTTACTTTCCCCGGACTTGGTTGTACAAAAATTTTGGTTTTGGATATACATCTGAGAACCCAGAGCTCTTTAGTTTGAATTCTTCCAGAAGATATATTTCACACATTTCTCCCTCCGTTTTATTTTTGATCTTCAACATTTGCATATTTAACATTTGCAGCATATTTAATATTTTGCTTCAAAATGTTAAATATGCGGTTTCCATTTTTACCAATATTTGTTTCATATTCAAATAATATTTATTTCGGAGTATTTTGACTTAATGTTTGCTCAAATTTGTGAATTTCTTTTGTCACGGTATAGTTAGTCAATCGGGAAGTGTTTGAAATTTATATAAAAATATGCCGGTAATGATAAGAAAATGATTGAAATTTGAATTCTTATACAACCCCAGTATAGTCAGTCAATCGGAAAGTGTTCGAAATTTATTTAAAAATATACCGGTAATGATCAGAAAATGATTGAAATTTGAATTCTTATACAACCCCAGTTATACCCCAGTATAGTCAGTCAATCGGAAAGTGTTCGAAATTTATTTAAAAATATGCCGGTAATTATCAGAAAATTATTAAAATTTGAATTCTTATACAACCCCAGTTATACCCCAGTATAGTCAGTCAATCGGAAAGTGTTCGAAATTTATTTAAAAATATGCCGGTAATTATCAGAAAATGATTGAAATTTGATTTCTTATACAACCCCAGTTATACCCCAGTATAGTCAGTCAATCGGAAAGTGTTCGAAATTTATTTAAAAATATGCCGATAATTATCAGAAAATGATTGAAATTTGAATTCTTATACAACCCCAGTTATACCCTGACTCGAAAAAAAATAGAAGAAATAACATACATTAGAAATAATAAATAAATAAAAAAAAATCATAACCTCATCTAAGTAATATTATATATTACTTGAAAGTAAAGATTATATTTACCTCTGCATTCTCCAGTAGAAGGGTCGTATTTCAGGTCATTATCGCATATACATTCAGCTGTATCCTGATGAAAGTTGTACCCGCATATTGCACCACTTCCTTCCTTGCACGTCAATTTTTTATTTTCACAATCAATTACTATTTCACATTTGTTTCCATATGTTCCTGGGAGACACTCGCAAAAACGGTAATTACCGACTTTCATGCAGCCTGCCCCATTTTCACAATCATATCCTGTCTTGCACGTTTCTGAAAATAGGTAAAACGAACGATGAACTTGTTTAAATCAGAGCATATTAAAATCTATCATTAGTGAAAATTATAAAAGCTTTCTAACATAAATTTTCTTAATTTTAATAGATAAAATTATTTACAGGATGGAAACTGCATTATAATAATTGAATTTGACATGTTCAAATGCTTTTCTAGGGAATAAACTTCTCTTACGGGATTGAATCATGCACAAACATCAATTTCGAACGTGATATCATAATTATGACATTCTTCAACGATAAATTTAAAAGTATGACATTTTTAAATCTTTTCTGTCCCACAGTAGATCAATAAAACGGCAAAATGACATAATGACATAATCAGTATAGTTCAGATTTAATATCATCGATTTATTTGTCAACACATTGATGACGTAGATGTCGAAAATTTCGAGTGGAATAATTTACCCTGAATTATGTGGAGAAAAAAAGAGAGACCAGTTTGTCAAGCATAAATAATTCTGTTAATAAACAATTGAAATTTCTTTTTAAATTTTGACAGATTTAAAATCTATTGTATATTATGCAAAAAAGGACCACCCTGGTTACTTTTTGATCTAATGAATAAAACTTCACGCACTAGGACACAATCTTAATGGTTCGAAGGGATAACGATAAACATGCTAATTAATTGTTGCAATAGACTTTTAAAGTTAAATCATACACAGAAACGTACTTTCTCTAAATATACATACCTATTTTTTGATGGATTTGGATACTCAAAATATAGGGGGTAGTCACAATCTTTTAAATATGACCCCAATAGTTTGATCAGAAGAGCGATCCAAAGTTTGGGCCCCTTAATGTTAATTTTACTCTTTGAGTGTTTCGCTAAAATCTCAAGAACTTTGAATTGAAAAATTTTTGAACGCAATTACAAAATTCTTGTCACGGAATCGTTTAGTCATAAAACAAATTATCAGGAACTATTCAAACAATTTCGCTCAAATTTTGTATTTTGCCATGTAAATTCCAACTCTTTAAAATGATGCAAAATATTGTATACCTTACAATTCAAAAATTTTGGACTCTTTTATTGAATAATATAATAAAAAATATTAAATACCTGCTGAAAGTTAATTTTTGCATGGAATTATCTTTGGGCAAAAGAATTATATAAATATATGGAAAAAAATTTCAATTCGCTTAAAAAGTTCACGAGATATGATGAAATACGCAAATATTAAAATAAACATCAAGGGGATCAAACTTTGAACTACTCTTCTGACAGAACTATTGGGACCATAATTCCCAGATTGCGGCTCTTCCCAATATTTTGGGGGTCAGCAATTAGAATCCAACTACAAAAATGTATGTTTAGAGAAAGTCTGTTTTGTGTCTGATTTCATAACTTAAAATATTGTCTAAACCAATTAATTATTATATTTGATTTCTCCGCCTCGAAACATTATGATTGAGTTCTAGAATGTAAAGATCCGATTATTAGATTAAAAATTATTCAGGGAGACAAGCCGTACTATAAACAGTACTACTTTTGTTGTTGCTTATAAAGCCACTTGCCAGTATCAGCAAACCTGCTTAGTTGAACCAAGCAAAACTGAGGCAGGGATTGTGTTTCTTGTTTTTGTGGAGAGCCATGTATGGCCAAGAATATAATTTCTGCCGCACACAACCCGTTTATAGGGCGTACCCATTCGTATGCCCGTTTACAGGGCGTTCATTCAGTCATCCACATATCGCAATTTTGACCTAAATCAGATAATGATCAATCCCCAGCTCAGTACTCCTAGAGGTATAATTTGTTATGGAAACATGGAGGACTTTATTACCCGACATATTAAACGTGCACCAATTACCATTTGCTACGCGGGAAATCTTCGGAAGATGGTGATTGAACTAACGGTGTCTTGAACATGGGATCAACGCCCTATTAAAAAGGCTATCTCGGCCCTTTTACTATTTCTGCAACATCAGCTGCAGTAATATTGAGAGAAAGGCAATTTCTTATAAATTAATTAATTATGAACACCATACAAATCCTTTACTTATAAATGAGAAAATAAATTGAGACGAAGAAAAATAAAAAAAAACTTCTTTACCTCTGCATTGCTGTACTCTTGAATCATATTTTAATCCATTACTACACTGGCATTCTGCTTGCTTATCTAATACGTTAAATCCGCAAAAAGCACCACTTTTATTATTGCATACTAATGTCTCATCAACACAGGAAGTCACGTGTTCACATTTGTCACCAAAAGTTCCGCTTAAACAATCACAAAAATCATAGTTCCCAACAAGTTTGCAAGTACCTCCGTTTTTGCATGGTTCAGTTTCATTGCATGTGCCTGAAAATAAAAACAAAAATAGGCATATTTTTATCAAATTTCAGAGAAACTAAGTTGTAATTAGTTGTCATTTTTTTGCGGACAATTTTCGTAAAGAATCAATATGGGTTTAAAATACTTTTCTCGTTAATAAAAACCTAATTTCTTCGTATCTGTGAAATTTAGTATACCAACGGTGCAAAAAAATTTATTTCT